AAAAATCTTTTTCAGACTGAATTTAAATATTAAAAATGAATAACAAATGTGGATCTGGGCGACCACCAAGAAAAAGAACACATAATATTATAACTAGACATCAAAGTGAAAGATATGCTGGACAACCAAATGAACTACCTGTTAGTGACCTCCCAACATATAAACAGATTATTCAATATGCCTATAAGGTCGAAAAAGTAATAACTACAACTGAAAAAATTGACTCTCCAGCCGTAGTTTTAAAAGTGAGTAAAGAAATTTTAAAAATTTGGAAAAACGTTAATCCAAATTTTCCACTAATGAAAGAGAAACCTCTAAGAAATAAGGTACAAAGAACATTTCAAAAAGTAATTGCAGCTGAACGATCTAAAGCTTCAAAACATAAAAATAGTGTTTGTTGGTTGGAAAATAACCTTTTAAAGTTATTTGATATATCAGCATGCAGATGTGAACTTCCTCTTTTAAATTGTGATGACAGGTTTGAAGTTATACATTTTTAAAAAAACCACAATATTAAACAATTTTGTTTAAACAAATTTGTGACTAAACTGACATATATTTTACTGTATATATTACTGTATATTACCCTTTAGAAATGTTCGATGCAAGGGTTGCTCTAACAAGCACTATGTATGTCTCTGTGAAAAAAGTAAACAGGTTAAATTTGAATTTTTTTTTGTATTATTTTTTTTTTAATTTATGCTTAATAGTATTTTAAACTTTCTACAAGTTATTAAATGTATATTTTTTTTTAAATTAAGGTTCCAGTTCTAGAACGAGAGTATTTAAAGGACCAGAAAGTTAAGCAAGGGCCCTTTGGAACCTGGCAGATAGGCCGAATTGATAAGAAAGAAACAGCCATGACTGCAAGAAAAAGAAATAAGGAGAAAATTAATATGAAAAGTGACACAACACTCCATTCAGATAATGATTATATTAGTGAAACTGATATGGAAATAGATAACGATGATGATTATAAAAAGCAGAATCGTGAGTTTTTTGCAAAACCACTGTGTGAAAAAAATTACACAGATTTAACTAACATTGCCAAAGCTGCCATTAGGTTCCAAGTTAGTGATGCTGCAACATCTACCATAGCAACTGCTACCTTGATAGACTATCAAATTATAACTCAGAATGACAGATCACAAATTATCACTGAAAAAAAGATATTTGACACTAAAAAGCGTGTTTCAACCATGTTTAGTGAAAAACACTGTTCAGAAGTTTTCCATTTGAAAGTCATTGGAGTAGATAGTAAAAAAGACAAAAATACATTAGCACATATATTAGGATATGATCATAATGCTGAACCTATTGTTAATAGAACAGTAAAGGATGAACATCACTTAACTTTTACTGCAGAAAGTGGACCTTTTTCTAAGAAATATTTAAATCATATTGAAATAAAAAATGGAACAGGAATTACAATGGCAACCGAAACACTAAAAATACTTGAAAAATACAACAGCATTAGTAGTTTGGAAGCCATTGTTCTTGATAATACTTCTGCTAATACCGGTGTAGATAATGGCTTAGTTGTGACATTAGAAAAGCTTTTAAATCGAGGAATCCATTTAATAGGATGTGTACTTCATCAAAACGAGTTACCACTTCGCCATGTCATAGCTGAAGTAGATGGTAAAAGTAACGATCCAAAGAAATATAAGGGCCCTATTGGTCAAAAAGCTTCTGCAGATGATTTGCATGATTTACCAATAGTTGATTTTATTCCAATTCAATCAGAGATTGATTCATATGTAAACTCTAATATTTTATCTGATCTTAGCACAGATCAACGTAAACTTTACGAATACTGTATTGGAATATCTAGAGGTTTTATATCCCCAAAATATTCAATGAAAAAACCAGGACCTGTTTACCATGCCAGATGGCTAACTCTAGCTTTAAGGATAATGATGGCTTATGCGAGAGTGAAGAATCCTACAGATGAGTTGTGCATAATTACAAAGTATATTGTCCAAGTATATTGCCCCATGTGGTTTGCCCATAAAAAGTCTGGTCTTTATAAAGATGCTCCAAGACTTCTTCATAAAACAATAGAGCTTGTTAAAAATCAAACAGACAATGTACAACAAATTGTTTTTCAAAATCTTCAAGGAAACTCTTATTGCTGTCTTCAAGAAAACTTTTTATATTCTATGTTGCAAGATGATGAAAAAGATATAAGAGCTCAAGCTATTAAGCAAATTTTGTACATAAGGCATTCAAGAGAAGTAAATCCTGAAGTTAAACCAAAAATCAAAGCAAAATCAATTATGCCTATTAACTTTAACGCTGATACATGGAGTGGTTTAGTTGATGTTTCTTTAATTGAGGTCGAACCTCCAACTTCTATCCTAATTTCATCATTTGAATTAGAGAATGCTTTGCAAACTTCTAAAAAGCCTATTCTTACAGATTTACCCAACAATTCACAATCAGTGGAAAGGTCTGTGAAACTTGTATCAGAGGCATCAAAGATAGTTTATGGTCAAATAAAGAGACACAACTTTATCTTAACTAAAAATCAAAGCAGAGCAGAAAATAAATGTAATTTATCTAAAACTGATTACTTTATACCTTTTTCTTGAAAAATGTTTTTTTTTTTTAAATTTTAAATTTGGTTTACATTCCTATGTCCAAAGGCATCCTTGACTTGACTACTGTCAAGAATTATTTTAATTGCAAGACTCTCAACCCTTAACTATGGAATTACCCTTTCGCAGAGAAACATGTTGAACGCGGTAATTCCAGAAGCATCAGGTTGGCTTAGTCCAGAAGCTTTACTTATAAGGTGAGCCCTTTACCACAAGTCTATTACAGAACGTTTATTACTGTGTTATTAAAGTAAATTACGACGCATAAAATATTTAAGATCAGTCGCGTAGGAAGGTCAAGAAAGTTGGGGGTTGAAACGGATAGAAACAGGGGCTAAGGCAGCCGTAATCGGAATTTGAGTAGAAGTCTTTACATAGTTGGGGGGGGGTTGCTTTCTCCTCCCCCTGTTCCTACACTAGTGTTTAATATTATGTGGTAAATACTCATTCCATTATATTCAAGTATTCTAATGGAAAGAATATTTGTATTAAAGTTAGTAATAAAGTATACAAATAATAAAAATGCCAGAAAAATGAATGTTTCATGAAAAACAAGAAAATACTTTAAAACTTTAAAACCGTTTCCCAAAATTACCCTTACTCAAATCGATCTGAAATTTTTAGGATAGTCTTAAAATGGTATGTACAACAAATCCCAAAGTGAGCCAATATGATCTGAGAAAAAAAGTATATTTTGGTAGTGGCTTAATATATATATATATGTATAGGGATGAAATTGGGATTTTCCCGATAAAAAGTAGGCAGTGAAAAAGTTAACTATCTACATTTTGGGTAATTTAACATTAGGTGTATATAGAAGTAAGATTAAAAAAAAAAAAAATTTTAAGATTTCTGTTAAGTTTAAATTTTAACCAAGGAGTTTTTTCAATTTTTGTTGCCAAAAATCGAAAACTCTTATTGGTTCAAAATTAAAGAAATTTGATCTATCATTAAAAAATGAAACAATTAAAATTTTAAGCATTTAACTTTAAGCAGTTCAAAAGTTATAAAATTAATTTTTACCCACATCTACCATTATGGACTTTGTGGTGGCACTTATGAGAAATTTTTGTTCTGTTCAAATTGGCTATGCTTTCAGTGACAAAGTTAAAAGTTGCCTAACATTTATGTGTTTATCAATTTATTCATGCAAAGGAAGAAATGTTAGGCTATCCAAATATTAAAAAAATATATACAATATTTATAAGTTTAAATATAGTTTTATATAATGACAATGAATGTTTAAGAATATTACAAGTTTAAAATAGATTTCATTTTTATTTAAAATGTTGGATAGAAGTTTAAACATAGTTTTGTGCTGCCAGTTGTGATTTATAAAGCCTAAAATTTTTTGAATTAAAGTAAAAGAATTAAATTAAGATAAGTAATTACTTATTTAGAGTCTTATTTGGAAATTCAGTTCAAACAGTCAACAGCTCCTTTGTATTTAAACTAAAGAATTCATCTGACAATATATACATTGTTTATTCATCTGACAATATTGTTGATTGAATTTAAATTCTGTAAGATTGCTGAATATGAAAAAGAAATGAATCTTTTTTTAATGTTATGAAGTGTTTTACATTTTTAGCTTTAGATGACATTGTTAACAAAATTTAGATACAATTAATTGAAGATGGAGAAAGAAATTGGAGTCTGGAGTCAACAAGATCATTGCTCAACAGTACTTTGTGTGAAATTGAAAAGTTATTTTTAAAAAGTTTACTTAAAACTTCCAACAAGTTTTCATTTAAAAATACGAAGATAAATAAAGTTGACGAAGCATTTATTTTCATATTATACTTTAAAATTCTTATATTTTATAAAATAGATTTTTTTATAAATTTTCTGTTATCATTCCAAATGTTAGTTTATGAATATATAATTAGTTAATTAAAGTAAGTTAATTAAATATACAATTAGTCAATTTTAGAAATCAAAATTTACTAATTTAAAAAACAGGCTGGAGAAAAGTTTTTAGTCAATAAAATTGACTTTTGAAAAAGTAAGTTGAGTGTATATTAACTTTTATCGAGTTCAAAAAAATCTTAGAAATCTACTTATCTATTGAATTTACTGATGCGTATCAATAATCAAATTTAAAAAAATCTCTTCCTCAATTATAATTTTTCTCAAGTTGGAGAAAAAAATTATAATTGATTTTTAAATTAAACCTTAACATACAAGGTTGCTGCGCAGAGAAACAACTTTTTTCTCCATGCAGCGGCCTTGTATGTTAAGGTTCAATTTTAAAAAGTTTGTGTTTCGGAGTTATAGAGCTGAGAGAGGGTTAAAACCACTATTAAGTAGCCTCCTCATCTGTAGTGGCCTTCTCGACTTTGAGGAGGTGAATAACAAAAAAACAAAAAAAGAAAAAATTTGATAAAAATAGGTACCTCTTTTTTTAAAAAAAGTTGTTGCAAAAGTTGTGACTGGGGTTGTGGTAGTAGTAGTGACTGGGGTTGTGGTAGTAGTAGTGACTGGGGTTGTGATTTTTTGAATTGCTTTTAAACTCAGCTTAAATCCAGTTCTAGTTTGTTGATCATCTGAATGAAAATGTATAAACAACTGATTGCTTGTTGAGACAATTGGTTGTGGGAGATTACGACCACAGAAAGTCCCGAGTATTGCTCCACTGGCATCAAAATCTCTAATCTGCAAATAATCATATTTACATTTTGGACCACTTTCAATATCCATATGAAGAAATGACAACTGAATTTTTTGGTCAGTATCACCAAGTATCCTCCAGTATAAATCTTTTTTGGTTTCATATCTCTCAGGATAATTTGGTGAAGATATCTCAGTAGATTCTGAATCAGTTCCAATGTTCAAAACATACTCATTAACTAAATTGATTTAAAATGAATAAGTTAAAATGTACACAGAATATATATATATATATATATATATATATATATATATATATATATATATATATATATATATATATATATATATACATATATATATATATGCATATATGTGTATATAAGCATATATGCATATATGTGTATATATACATATATATGTATATATGTATATATATGCATATATATGTATATATGTATATATATATATGTATATATGTATATATGTATATATATATATATATATATATATATATATATATATATATATATATATATATATATATATATATATATATATATATATATATATATATATATATATATATATATATATATATATATATATATATATATATATAAAGATTGCATAATATTTGCAAAAATCTCAAGAATTAAACAAGCTTACTTATTCAGACTTGTTATCTATTTTATTAAAGCCAGCAATACCTGGCTGTATAGTTTTTTGGCTATTCTGAAGCAGTTTTGGTCGGCGAAGATTTGCCAACCAAAATGTTTGTGTTTTAAATGATACAAGAAACTTAAAATCGGTAAAACCTATGTTTGACTGAACAATTTTTGCATTTAAATATTGACTTAAATCTAAAAGTAAAAGTATACTTTCACAAACAAGCAAAAGTAAACAATTATATAACAAACCGTTGAGTTTATCTACTATATATCTACAAAAATTTTAATGCAAGAATTAAATGAATTACACACACTTGAAACCAGACCCCTAAAACAATGGTTTAGATTTTTGTTTCAGTTATATTTTCTTTAGAAAAAAAATATCTGTATGATATATCTGCATTGTTCTTCACTATTTTTATTTGAAGTTACCAGAAATTGATGAACTGTGCACCTGATTACATTTTCATTGAATGATTTTTGGCTAGTTTAAATACACTGGAAACTCTCATTGCTCTGGAGATAAAATTTTGCAATATTTGCTGAAGTCAGTAGAGTAGTGAGCATTCTAAACATTGTTGAAGACAGCCATAGCGATAGTGAAATTTCAATACTACATTACTGTTGGAGCCATTATCTTGTGCAATTTTTCAGACAACATCATAGCTGCTTCTCCACAAACAAGACTGATTTGAGCTGTCTCCTCTGTACTTCTGACAGAATAATTACCATCATGTTGTTTAAGTCTGTAATTCATTTAACCCATTTGTCAGTTTTCTTATATTTGAGCTGTTTTCTCTGCACTTCTGGCAGAATATTTCATAATCTTTTAATACTTTTTAGATGACAACACTCTCTTCTATTAGATACACATTTTTAGTAGATCCAATTGCATAGGTCTTTTTCCTTAACAAGACTGCAGTTGTTTCATTAATTTGTTTGTCGTCCTTGAGAATTTTTAAAAAGATATAGCATTCGTCCAATGACAAATGTTTGTGATTGTAATATATTTTTTATAATAAACACTTTCTTTTTAACATATTTATTAGATAGAAGCTGTTTGAAGACAGTGCTCTTAGTGGTGATGGTCTGGATGGTTATGACACAATATGATCTTTTATTTATCTATTGGTGGTTTTGTATTCATCTGTGTCTGCATGTATTCATATTGTATGCATGTAGTCACATAGGCACTGCTTTTGAGTGCAGAAAGTCATATAGACTAACTGAAGCAATTAAAAAGAAAAAATGTTTTAATTTTTCAAAAATATTGTAGGGAATTCATTACAAGTTTTCCTGAGACACTAATAAAATCACTGTTATTATTTTGTTTCTATTAGTTTACTATCTGACTGTGAATCATATGAAAACTAAATACATTTCACGAACACTATTTCTAGCATATACATATATTTCCTATATACTTTAATAAACATTTCTAATCACTTGAAAGACATGATTCTTAGCACACACATAAAATTATAAAACGATAATTCTGAACCATAAAAATTCTCAATTCATAATATTCCAACATAAAATTATTGTTGTGAGCTTTAACCTAAACAAAAATATATAAAAATCTCTGGATTCAGTTTTAGTATTGTTGAAAGCATATAACTCCAATAGGCATTCAATTTTTTCCAGATTCCCTTTATCTTAGTATTATTTAACAAAATAAAATTACTGTTTATTGAGTACTTAAAATTACCGATGAAATTCATGATTAAGCAAAATTAGATTAATTAACTAACTGAAATAGGACCATCAAACTTTTTATTCAGTACATATATTTTTACTATATAAAAATATATATGTATACTTATAAAGTTTTATGCCTCCTAATCCTAACTGAACTTAAGTAATGAAAAACTGAAAACTTAAAACTGAACTTAAGTAAAAAACTTTCAAAAGGTAAAGTGCTCTTTTTAAAAAAAAGAAGATCTGTTTGAAATCTGAAACATCTCTGAAACGAATTGAAACAAGATCACAAATAACTACACAAAAATGCATCTATCAAACAAGCAGCTTACTAAATGAGAATATCTTCTAATACCTGTGTGTAACTGAAAGAGTAAACCTTTGTGCAACTGCAAGAGTAAAACCTGTGTGTAACGAAAAAGGTATACCTGTGTGCAAATTAATGTATTAGTCATTTAAAAAAAAAAATGCGAAAATTTAATTAGATCAAATTTAATTAACAACTAATTTAATTAAATTGATATTAGTATTCACACTTTAAATGTTCTATTGAAAATATGTATATAATTAAAAAAATTATAAACATATTTTTAACATGCAATAATGATTTTATCATAAACATGGTGTAGATTATTGTTTTAAATAAACATTTTAATTAAACCTGGTTTAGATGTAGTTTTTGGCGGCATATCTTGAGCTCTCCATATTAAACGAAAACCTTTACCAGTTTTTTGATTATCTGTATGAAAATGAATAGTGATTGCATTGCCAGAAGATTGAATGAGATCTGGAAGCCTACTTCCACAAAACTTTCCAATTTCTTTTTGAAAAATATCATCTGTCAGCTTAATAAAATCAGAAAAACAAGTTAACCCACTTTCTACATTCATACTTTCTATATTCAACTCTCTAAAAATAACTTCAACAATTTTGTTCTTATTGACTGTGATATTCCAAAAGCAATCAAGATTATTTTCATATTCACCAGGGTAGTTAGGTGAAATAATTTCTCCATTATTTCCAGTTTGGGAAAAAAAACAATCTAAGACAAAAAAAAAAAAATTATTTATAATTATATTACAACATAAATTATTTTCATTAAAAAACTATTTCAATTATTTTAATTTAGTTAAATTTAGTTTAGTTCCTTGAAGATGCAATTCCTGTTATTTTTTTGTTATTATACTTTATTTAACAACTTAATGCAGTATTTAATAATTTAACATAATATGGTAAAGGTATGTTAAATATTAAAACAAGTGTTTTGTCCAATCAAAAGCTTGTCAATCAAAATCAAAAGTTTAAATTATCACAGGTTTCATTAGACATTATTTTAAAATTTATAATTTTAACATTTTAAAAGTTATAATTAAACATTATTTGTATACATCATTAATATTAACAATGATTTATTATAAATATTTTATAACTAATGCTAAAAAACTAAATATTATTAATTTATTACAAAAAAAGAGTTACATAAAATTATACTAAACATGAAAATCTTTTTTTTTAAAAAAGTAATAAGAAAAAGTGAAACCCAATTTTTGGTCAGAAACAGCTCTCCATCTAATTCTAAATCCTTTTTGTAGCCCAATTTCATCAGAATAAAATTGTATCTGAAGCTTTCTACCAGATGACTTAAAACTCATATTTGGACCTTTTTGACAATATCTCTGTACACGACCATCATTCTTGTCTTTTATTTCAACGAAATCATAATCACATTTTGCAGAATTTTCAAGATCAAGCTCATCAAATGTCACTTCTATTACTTTGTTTTGGTCAACAGTAATAACATAATTGCAGTTCTGATTATTTGAGTACTGTTGAGGATAATTTGGGTGAACAATAATGCCACCTTGACCAGCAATATTTCCACCACAATCTAAAGAAAAATTTCACCCATTTTTAATATAACAACATTTTATATAGATAAATATTACTGTAACTGTAACTATGGTTATTAAAAACTACAATATATACAGTATATTACTAAGCAACTGTTTACTTATAATTGTAATACTCTTCATTATTGTGACATTTTTACTTTCTTATTCACCTAGAAGTGTTAATCTTTGTTATTATTTAGTGTGATTATTATTCATTACTTTATCTTACATGTCAATATTTCAAATACATGTATATATATATATATATATATATATATATATATATATATATATATATATATATATATATATATATATATATATATATATATATATATATATATATATATATATATATATATATATATAATTCTGTACTATTCGTACCTCGAAATAAAGGTCCATCTGGTACTGTAGTTGTGGTTTGCGGAATTACTGTTGTTTGTTTTGTTGTAGAAGATTCAAATGTAAGTATAGAGTTTACTTCTAAATTTAGATAAGAAATTTAGTTTATTCTAATTATTTTTTATAAATAGTAATAAAAGTTTAAACTTTACCATTTACAGGAGTTGTTTCTACTTCTTTTTTTGCTACCCATGATCCTGAAAAGCCACGTTTTTGATTTTTTTTCTCAGAAAAAAATTCATACCAAGCTCTGTCTCCAAACTTTAAAGAAGTGACTTTAGTTGCACAATTTTTTGATGTATATTTTGAAGGAAAGCGACCATCAAGTAAGGCAAGCAAATAATTTTTATGGCAACTTTCTGATTCTTCAAGTTCAAAATCTTTAAAATTAACTTCTAAGCTTGAAAAACCTGGGGGGGCTCTAATTATGTACAAACAGTTTTGATTGGATGAAATTAGTTTAGGATAACCAGGAGAACTAAATGATCCCGTTTGGTCAAAATAAATACCACCACAATGAAATTCTACAAAAAATAAATACAACCACAATAAAATTCTACAAAAAACAACATTTATTTATGTTATTAAACACATCATCATCACTGTCATCGTCATGGTAAAGTCATCGTCATACTTGTCATAATAATCAACTATTACCTTTACTTCCTATAACTCTTCCTTGCATATCTAAAGCGTATATCCCATCATATCCTGCAGCTATATCTGAAACTTTTAATCCACTAATTTTTTCCCAAGAAACACCTGAAGGATTTAAGGAATTGACATTTAACCGTCTAAATATCTCATTTTGATTGTTCAAAGCCCAAACATTTCCTCCAAAACCAGAAACAACCTTTAAAAAGTTTCCTTCAATTTTATTAGTCAAAAGTTTTTTTAGTAAATTTGATGAGGGAATATATGTTGAAAAATAAATATTTCCTTTTTTATCAATTAACCAATATCCATAAAAACTAACAGACACATCAGAATAACCATTTTCAATTAGTTTCCAGGACTCTCCAAATGGATTGTAATCTGTTATTTCTTGTCGACTTAAAACCTCTCCATCTTTAGATATAGCAATAATTTCATTATTTGCACCATACGTAAGCTTTAAGATTGTTTTTTTATTGTTTTGCATTTGAGTCCAATAATTAATGAAATGGTTTCTAAAAATTAATTTTTTTTTTAACTGTTGAAAATTTAAAAATAATCAAAACTTTTCAATAACCTTTAAAACATTTTTTTTAGTGACTTTTATTATAAGTCTAGGCTTAACCTAATCCAGCTTTTTGGTATGACTGAAAGATCCAAGGCTGTTTGCATTACTGAGCCAAGTTTTAACAAATACTGCAAAACTCTATTTTAAAACATTTAAAATAGAGTTTGACAGTCTAGTTTAGGCAGTCTAAACTTACAAAATAAAGTTTAGACTGCCTAAAACTTACAAAAATAAGAAAATTTACATACCTGTGTTTTTAAAAATAAGAAAATTTACAAACCTGTGTTTTTTTTTAAAAAAAAGTTTACAAACCTTTGTTTTTAAAGTTAAAAAAATTTACAAACTTGTGTTTTTTAAAAAACAAAAATTTACAAACCTGTTTTTAAAAATAAAAAAAATAAATTTGACTTTTATCTAATTTTTAACTTTTATTTGTTATTTGTATTACATTTATAATAATAATAATTTTTTTTATATCTTATTACTTATATATTTATCATAAAATTTCATATAGTTAATAAAACTCACTTGAAAAAAATGTTATCATTTTTATCCATAGCATAAACACCAGATACTCCAGGTGATATCTGTAAATTTTCTGATGGCTTCCCAGATTGAGGAACAATCCAACTATCTTTATCTAAGACATGCGGAAAGCCATTATCATCAACAGCCCATAAAGATGAAGATTCTATGCTTGCACTAATACTGATAAATTTTTTATTAGGAGGTGACATGTAGCCCCAACCGAGTGGCAATGCTAACAAAATATAAAATAAAACAATCATAAGACACTTAAATTTACATTCATTTTATACATTAAAATATAATTACAAGATAGAAATTTTTTAATAAACAAAATTTTATAAATCTTTTCAGTATAACTAATTTTCTGTATTTAAATTTTCAGTTAAAATACCTTTCATTTTAGGTGTTAAAATTACTGTGTGTTACCTATTAATGCAGGAGTTGTAGCTGTTACTTCTTGACGTGTCACTAAACATAGAAAAAAAATTGTTAGAAAAAATAGTTAATTAAAAAAAAGATAATAATTTGTGAAATAGGTAAATAAGTAATAAAGTACAAATTTAATAATTAAGTATATAAAATAAGTATCACACTACTACACACTATTACACACCACTATGCAACACTAAACACCATCAAACACTACTAGTAACCACTATGCAACACTATACGCCATTAAGCATTACTAGAAACCACTACGCAACACTACACACCATTAAACACCACTAGAAACCACTACGCAACACTACACACTATTAAACACCACTAAAGATTACTATGCAACACTTCACACTGTCAAACACCACTAGAAACCTCTACAAAACACTAAACACCATTAAACAACACT